CTTCTGCCGCCTCCCGGCCCCAGGGCCATGGCCCTGCCTCCTGCCAGAGCCCTCTGCCCCGCGCGGAAGGAGCCTCCGTCCTTGGCTAGTTCTGCCGGGCTCCCGCAGGGTCCCCTGGGAGCCCCCAGAGCAGCTGCCCGGGGCCTGATCCTGCAGGGGGCTGGGCAGCGGCGCGGCTCTCAGCACCGCTCAGGATCAAGCCGCGCTCAAGGGACGTGCGACCAGGTGAGCGACCCTCCTCTGGGCACAGGCAGGAGACCCCTCGGCGCCCCTGCGGGAAGGGAGCTCCCTGGGCCTCGCTGGGGGAAGGGGCCTTGCAGGGCGCCCCAAGTCAGCTGCAGTCCCCCCCCAAAGCAGGGAGGAGCCTGAAGCCCAACCCAGGCCTGCCCCAAACTCTGGGGGTGACTTTCCAGGGCACAACCCCAAAGCCAAGTGTTTGCCAGTGGGCCCTGGGCTGCAGAACGGGCTCAAGCCAAACCCAATTGTGAGAAGATCGAGGGGTCCACACACCAGCGCTGGCCCTGCCCAGGAGGAGCCCGAGGGGGCCTCTGGCCAGCCGGAAAGCCACCGGGCGGGTGGCACAGGGAGCCGAGGGCTAGGCGATCACAGAGCAAGTCCCATGACGCTGTTGGGGCCCCAGCAGCCCAGTGGGCGGGGCACAGTGCAGCCAATCACCGGCACTTCCGCTGGGTGACCTTGGCTATGTCGCTGCCCCGCTCTGCCTCGGTTTCCCGTTACAGGACGGGTGAATGCAGCTGCCCCTCTTCGCAGAGCTCGCTGGGGGCAGGGGACTGTGCCAGCACGGGCCCGCAATGTGACCCCACTGCAGGCTGAACTAAAACCTGATGGAGGGGAAAGGCAGCAGGGCCCAGGCTGTGATACTCCAGGGTGTTCCTGAGCCTGGGTTCGTGGTCAGGACAGGAGCAGCCCTTAGAACCCGTCCTGCCCCTGGGGGCTGGTTGCTGCCGCACCAGGACGCCCGTGTGAAAGGCCAGGCCGAGCGACCCGATGGATTCTGGGTCTGGCCTTTGCCGCGCTCAGTTCCTCTCTGGTCCCTTCACTCCCTTGGCCCCCGCTGCCGCCGCGCTTCCGTCGGGCTGATCTCCCGGGATTTCCGGCTCTGCTAGCTCCCCGGAGCCAGCCCGCTCCAGCCCCATTTCCAGCCAGGGGCCGCTCCGGGCCCAGGGCCCAACGCTGGGGCTGTTTCTAGGAGCCAAGCCCCATTCTGAGCCTTGTCAGGGTGACAAATCCCCAAGGTCCCGCCACATGGAGCCGGTTGGGCATTGCTACCCCGTGGGCAGGCAGCGGCTACGGAGCCTCTGCCAGCCCCGCCCCGGCGCTTCTGGTGCAATGAAAAGCGGCTGCCCGATCCCCTCTCCCCCGGCCCCTCGGGCTGCAGCCGTTGGCACGGCACCGAGATGGTTTCCCGCAGCCCCAGCTCCTGGAGTCCTGGGATGGTGGGAGATTCATTCGTAGAACAAATGTCCATTCCCACCCCGCCTGGCTGCAGAACCGAGCCTGCCCTGGGGCGCCAGGGAGCCCAGCAGGCAAAGCAAAGGAGCCCCACCCGGATTACCACGTCAAACGCGTCTGATTTCTAAGCCCCTCGTGTGAGTTCCGTGGCAGGCCGGTCTCTTGGCTTTGAACGCCAGAGACTCTGGTCCCATCCATCCTGGGGCCGGCTACAGCCCCTGTCCCCCAAACCCCTCCCCGGGCCTGGCTCTAGGGATAGGGGTGGGGCTGCTGCCTTGGGAGAGGCCAGGCTGGGGCCCACGTTTCCCAGGGAGGGCATGTGAGAGCCACACGCTGCCCACAGCAGGCAACGGGCCGGGGACACGGGACCAGAACAGCAGTGGCTCAGAGGGCTGCCTGGGAGCCCAGGTGCAGGAGGGAAGAGCG